AGCCTATGTCGCTATAGTGCTTCTATACAATCAATAGCTAAGTATGCTAACATGCTAAACTAAGACAGTAAACCGCATCACGTCTAAACATCTGTATATCAGCACATTCAGTCTGACAGATCTGCTAGCGTGTCTGTAACCTCACTGTAACCTCCCTCTTTATGCTCTGTTTTCTCTAAGCTCCAGTCAAAAGGATTTACATCCAAAAGATTTGCATTGTGCGCCTCATCTCCAGAGTGCCTCCTCTTTGTTTTTGCCACGGCAGCGATGAATGGCGGAGATGAGAGACGGCGTGGTCGTGCCCTCGCACTGTCATAACACCATAATGAATGATTGAAGCAGCGAGCCTCGAGGTCTTTGGCTAATTGTCGAACACATATGCTCTTGTGGGGCTGTGGGTGTCAAACTGCTTCACAGAAAAGACCATCTGAGTCACACATAAATCTGTACGGAAAAGGGCCCGGAGACACAACCCAGCGATGGGAATGGATTATCCTACATGGGAATGAATGCGCACATGCTAGCACAATAGCTCTGGAGAAGAAAGCTCCGTCTTAATAAGCACCGACAGCACACAGAGACGCAGATTTTTACAGTCCATCAACAAAGCAGACGGCAGGTAGACTTGTTAGACTCGATGAATCGGGGGCTTTCGGTGCCGCGTTTGTTTCGCAGACTGTGACTATTCTCAGATTGGAGGAGGTGAGCAACAAGTCATCAGCACACAGCGGAGTAGCGGCGCTCACACGTTGCCTCCGCTGCCAGCTCCATTAAAAGATTTGAATCTGGGAAACTGAGACGAAAGAGATGCCTGGTATAAGTTAATGGAATTTTTACGAGCTCAATGGACTTGATGAGGACAGCGGCGTCCTCATCAAGTCTGGATCAATGTCTCGCAGACACATTATGGCTTTTAGTTTATTTAACATTTAATTAAGTGCGTTTAGGTACGGCGCTGCATATTGATTGATTCTTTTTTTTTTTTTCCAGGAGAAATGGTTCACAATTAGCCAAGAGGCTGCCTCGCTTGTCATCCGCCACTTCAAACTGCGATTCTCCAACATGGCAGAGTGACAAAACTCTCTTTGCTTAAAAGCTGGAGAAAGGTGACTTTAAAAAGCCATAGAGATGAAGTATGCGAGCAGCCTAATGCGTCGCCGCATTTACTGCCTTTTAGATCAAACTCTGCCTTTTGAATTCAGACCATCACATCCTGAAAGCTCCACAGAGAAAATATTTACAGCCGTCTCTTCGATCCATTCAAAAGCACGAGTGAATGACAGCGACGATTCCGGTTATGAAAATAAACCCAGAGAACATTCCAGACCTCTAGTGCCGCCGTCCGAATTTATGTAGACACCTCAGTCAGAGTGGGAAACCAGAGAGCATGAGTCCTTCACCTAAAATAAGCCTCCCCGTCTATCTTTACCCGCGTTATCCTGTTACTCAGGTGTGACTAGCATTAGCCCGCGCTATGAAATCCCTTTAGCATCTTTTATCCTGCGTTTTAAATTTACCAAACACATCAGAATTAGATGTTTCACCAATTATGTAAATCCTGATAATCTGACAGCCTTAGACACACACACAGGCCATTTTGAGAAACCTCCAGGCAGTAAAAAAAAATAAAAATCAACCTTAATTAACATAGGTGATTAGTAATTGTCTCGCTGTGACACACTCCTGATTAAGTGCATATCATTTATCGTCCCTCTCACACAGGTTGGTTCTGTTACCAGCACCAGCTCAATCCAACAGGTGCTACACTGCCACCCACTGGCCAAAGGCAGCCATTACAACATGACTGGGTGCCAAGTCAGGTCAGGAAATTAGAAGCTTTTCAGATATGTTGCTGCAAATTTATTAACGAGCTACTGGGAAGTAAAACGTTGAGCCGTCTTCTATTTGCTGTGTGTGCGTTCTGAGACCTCTAGCTCTCCTTCCTGATAGATAAAAACACGCATTACACCAACACAAGCTTGTGTCGGGCAGCGCTTCAGAGTGTGTGTGTTCTTTCCTGTGTGCACAGTCATGACCAGAAGGTCAGACAGATGCTGTAAACACAATCCCTGGAGGACCGGCCATCTACACAAGCAGAAAAACACGCTCTTTGCTCTCGAGATAAACCGTTGCATTGCTTCACAAATGTTGGACCGTCGGACTGTCCCCCTCACCGCCGCCGCCGTCCACCCCCGACCCCTCACGCTGAGGATTCTGGCCACAGCTGAGCGACCACCCGGGAGTCCATCAGTCATTGTTAGGGCTGGCCGTCCAATGACATTGCGCTGTTTAAATAAATGAAATGGGGCACAGAAAAATATGGTGCATCATCAAATATTAAGCTCAGCATTACAGATGAGCTGGAGACAAGGTCGGGTTTTATAACCAGCAGGCTGCTGCACAGTCCCCTCCCTCCTCTCTCTGGGAATCTGGGAACACTGCCCATATGCTCCATTGACACCCACTACAGGCTTTTTTTTCAAGCAAAGATAGGAAGAGACTATAAGCACTCGTGACACAATGCCAGGATCCAGCATGTTTTGCAATCCCTGCTTGTGGCACACAGACAATCTGACTCGTTATTTTAACAACACGGTGAATAAACTATCTGTTTCTGTCCCCTGGCCAAACAGTAAAGATTAGTAGGAAAGACTCCACCGCATAATGTACAAGACTGATTACTGTAAATTAGCTGTTGTAGGAATCAGGGAACGAATCAGCTTCCCAAAAGAATTCATGTGTGAATTAACGCTGCAGTAAAAAAAACCATTGTCACAAATACAGTGTAAAGTCCTGAAAATACTATTTAGGAAAAAATGTGACTGTACTACCAGTAAAATGCGTAGGAGACATAGGGAACAGCATCAAACCGACGGAGGGAGGAGGTTGGAGTGGATGGACTTGGAAAGTCACTGTTCAATTTCTATTTCCTCTCCACAGTCAACAGCAGCTCCTTATAACAATATACTACAATTATTATTCTCTATACCTTAACCCAGAAAGTATTTTTATAGCTATGACAATTTTTTATTGTTTTTTTGCCAACAACAGTTATCAATTTGTCGGATTAAATTAAATTAACTTTCTTTATCCCCGAGGGCCAATTCAAAAGCTCCCTGAGGATTTATTATAAAGACATTAAAAAATAAACAATAATGATGATGTAGATCTACCAATTGAAGCTTTATATACACAGTACAAGTATGTGTCATTCAGGGTATTTATTGTGCATTAACAGATTTTTATTTCTTATTTATTTCAGGTTTCATTTTTGCACCCTACTGACATTACATTTGCTAAACTTGTTGTCCAAGTATACATACGTCAGATATGAAACATCACCAACACTGGTCTGGAGTTGTGTTTCCTGCCACCTTGTAATGTCGGTCTAATATTTACTCTTTTTTTAAAAATTCTACACCAACTCTTGAGGCAGTTGTCGGCTCCGCTAAAGTGCTAAATGCTAACGTGAGCTAGTGGCTAACTTTACCTGTCTGCTGAAGCGGGTGTGAATTTATGGGGTTTTTAGAGAAAACAAGACTTCCTACAAAAGGAAATGATGCTAATGAGAGAGCTGAAGTCTAACCAAAAGCTGCAGACCACATAAAACTAAATAAGTTGAAAAATGCAAAAAAAAATCCACATATGAGGAAAACGGCAAAGTACAAGGATAATGAGTTCACATCACTACATGTCGTTTGATTCATTTCTAGCAGCTTTAAAGAATCAAACGCTCTGAACAAAGACACACTGATTAATAGTGGAGCACACAAATGGCTCAGTGGCCCTTTGTTTAGCTGGGAAAGTTCTCCTGACGATAAGCCAAAGATAGAGGGCTCAATGAGAAACAGGAATGCAGCAGCCATAACAAAACCAAAGCTTATCTCCTGAGACTGCTACGGGTCATACCACACACGTCTGATAAGAAAAATAAGGATAGATTAGTCTTCAAAAAACTGGACTGAAAGAAAAAAGGAGAACCTCAAAAGATCCTGTCATTAAGTCTTTGCTGATGTGGCTCATTAACCACAGTAATCTGTGAAATATTTTCATCTCAGGAGCCAGATGTGATTCGGATAGAGTCTCTGGTCTGACAGAAGCTTCGCGATGCTTCCAGCAGCAACCGACACATCAATTACGGGGTTATTTTTAAAATCCTGCTTCGCCATAAAGTCCCCCCAAAATAAGTCTTAAATAACAGGGTGTCGGATATCAGCAGCCCGACGTCCCTCCGCCACCAGCCAGCACTGCCCCCGACTGAGGACTACACTCCCCATAATTCACCGGCTCTCGTTTTAGGAGTTTGGATGCTATGAGCAGAGAGGTTTCCATACAGCACCGCTGAGCTCACAGTCCTTGGAACATTTGAAAGGGTTCCATTTAATTTAACAACCACATTAGGGGCAAAGAAAGTAGGTCATCTGGGCCTTTTTGTCTCTCCATCAGACATTTGGTAAATGGGAGGTTGCCTCATAATGGAACGATTCACGTCCAACAGACGCAGATTTTTCCTCTGAGAGAAGCCAGCTGGGACGGAAAAACAAAGCGGGAGAGAGAAGGCCGCCCGACTCTCCGGCGAGGAGACGTGTCCTAGAAGCACATTTCACCACAAGCAGCACACTGAGAGAAAACTGCTGGCAAGTGAATCACACAGAAGTAAATGATAACAGAATCCTCTTTTCTTCTGCTTCGGTCACCGGTCAGGTCAACCTGCGTGTTCCTCGACAGTCATTACATACAGTTAGAGGACGGTGAGATCTACATCGTGTACAGTTTCACTACACCAACACTTAATCCGTTTCACCTGAAGCTCAACCTCTTGCTCATGTCCCCACTACTGACTTTTAAATTACTTTAACGGTTGCAAAAGCTTTTTGATTTCTTGAAATGCACATTGCACCGAACACACGGCCTGACAGTGACCCGGCACTCCACTCACCTGGAAAAAAAAAAAGCACAGCTCACAGCAGAAAACAAAAGCGTACAGCGGCAGTACTTACTGTGTTCTCTGCAGCCGGCTTCTCAAACATCCTCTTCAGGCTATCAAGTGGGATGTCAAACCTCTCAATCCTCTTGGCAGCCTGCAGGTCCTCTCTGAGCACCGGATCGTCTGATGCCTCTACCTGCGGCCCGGAGGGACGACGGGAAACGAAGCCCGAGGTCGCCCTCGCCACCTCCTCTCCATTTCCTGATTGAATTTCCATTGTTGCAGAGAAACCGTACACCCCCCCTTTTCCCTTCAGGCCGCTGATCGGAGGGGAAGTCTATTGTGAAAGGTGGTTCAGGAAGTGAGGGAGAAAGAGAGGCAGAGATGTTAGCGGGGTCCCTCTCTGTCTGGGCAGCGCTCAGGATCGCTCACCAAGAGGCTGCAGGGAAGAGGAGGAGAGAAGGAAAAGTTCACAGGGGGAGTTTTTTTTCCCCTCTTTCCTCTGCCCTGTAATTACTCATACACTCAGAAGCCTATGTAAACTCACATGTGGGCTCAGAAAGGCAAATTGAGATATGACTTGTAAGGCAGGCCAAAGCAGTGACGACAAAGGAAAGGAGGGAGGGAGGGAGGCCTGAGAAAAAAGGAGGAGAGAGGAGCTGCTGTGAATGTTCTGGTTCCCTTTGGCTTCAACAGCCCAAAAAACAACTTTAGCTTCAGCTTGATGTGACAGAGCATAGAATTCAGGAGGGTAACACACAAGACTTTCATATGATGTGTCTGTGATTCCAGTTCTGTTATCAAGTACAGATTTAAGAAACCTCGTGTACTTAGCTGTTTCCACTTTATGCTAACTTATTTAATAGATTCTGAATTTACGTACAAAACGCAGACACATGCACGAGGCACAGATGTAAACGATAAAACCAGTTCAGCGTTTGATGTTGTGCTGCCATCATTACTGCTCAAAGCAACACCTGGGCTTCTAAAACCTACACGACATAAACACAGCTGGATGTATGGAGAAGATTTATCTTTAATAATCATTTTTAAGCGATGTGCTCATTCTCTCAGTTCGCTCCCTGCCTCCTGCTCTCCCTCCTCACCCCGTCATGCTCAGGAACAGCTTCCAAACCATTTCTTATCTCAGTAACAATAAACACACATCAACAAACAAACACTGACCCATCTCTTGTCCTCGTGTATGCTTCCATCATACTCAATGTCTCATCGCTCTCTGCGTACCTTCGTCCCTGTGAGGCTGCCCATAACCTGAAGGATGTCGCCGCCACACCTAGAAGCTCATAAAACTGCTTCCCTTTAGTCAAACACTAATAACGCCATTTATCATGAGCAAGTTCAGCGATACGGAGCACGGCATGAACAAAAGCAATAAATAAAAAGCTGCTACTGTCCACATAAATTACACGTGCAGGGCAACTGGAGTGATTGATGCTTTTGTTTGTGTGTCCAACGATATAATTACATCGATGGAAACAGATGCTTCAACTGTGGCTCGAATGTCTGTTAACACCTTAAAGGCTTCCCCCCCAAAGTATGGCTGCTTCATATCTGTGTTGAATATGTTCATGTAGTTACTGAGGCTGTAGAGTTATACTTACCCATCCGTTCTCTTATCCGGGGTCGGCTCCTGAAGCGTTCCCAGGCCAGATGAGATGTAAACTCCCTCCAGCTGATCCAGGTGTTCCTGAGTCTCCTGCCAGTTGGACATATAAACAACACTAGTGAAATCAGTTACTAAAACAAAATAAAAAAGTACTGAATACTAAGACAAGTCCATAGAGGATAGCAACTCATAAGATCAGTTTCAAAAATAACAATAAATCTGAACTATTACCTCCACTAAGAGCCTCCTGGAAGCCGCACGCCTTGAGGTTCTTCTTGAATTAAAACATGAAGGCTGCTGCTACGCTGTCGAGCTGCGACTGCTGAGGTTCGATCCGACTTACCCGCCAACCTGGAGCACTTAAAAGCAGCTGATCTAAGAGGCCTTGAGGTGGAGTGGCGGCAAAGAAGTTCTCAAGTGCACCCAGGTGCCGAGACATGTTGTATTTAACCAGCAACCAGCACGGGGACGACGGTGTAGTGCTTCGTACTTTCTTTGAGACGAGACAGTGAGGAGAAGCATAGACATTATAGTCGTTCAAACACAGGATGGAACGTTTTACTGCTGAATTAACGCGCTTATCAAATGTCAGAATAGGATCCAAGATGATCCCAAGATTCTTTGGAGGTGCATGTGTGGTTAAATCACTCCGATATCACACGATCTGTCATTTATGTGAGCTGCTGGTTGTGAGTTCAGAGATTCGCCATTTTAGCATTTCACAGCTGGAGCGGATGTGCACCGCAGATATCCATAATTCAATTCTTCCTCGTCAAGAAGAATATTTCAGATATCAGTCTTCCTATACAGAAGTGCCATTATAGACACCCACACTGTAATTCCATTTTCAGACAGCTTCACTCCGACTACTCGAGATGCCTTCAATTCCTATGAATCCAATACATCTGCACTGTTCTTTCTAGGAATCTGGAGTAAGTTTAAGCTATGCAGAGCGTTCGGCTTGCAGCAGAGAACGTAGAGCTGTACATTCTAGATGTTGGTGTCAAGTCACACTTAACTTTTTGATTTTAACGCTGAAATATGTGAGGCGAGGGGAAAAAACTAGGAATTATTTTAGATGTTACAGCATTCAGGTCTGGTCCTGAGTGAAGCTCATGCCTCCAGGAAGCAGGTTAACAACTCTCCGCCTCACCCATCCTCCCTTTGACACCAGGTCTGGGCCGGGTAGGAAAGCTCATTATTCCTGAACAAATCAAGGAAGGCCTTTAACAGCTAACCTGCCGGCCGACCGGGAATGTGCTGTTAATTTTTCACCAGCTCGTCCCTGGGAGTGTTTTCCTGCACCGGATCCTGGCAAGAAAAGAGAAATTAACACTTTAACTCGGTTTCCTCCGTGACTCACATTTCAGCATTGTGATATTTTTGCTCTGGAGGGTGGTGGTGGTGGAGGAGGAGGACGGAGCCGGAGTCCGAATTTTCACCCCGTTACAGTCATGAGAGCTGAGAGAGAGAAGCAGGGGTCAAATGATGCAGAGCAGAGTAAGCGGGGATGACAGAGGAGATTGACAGCTTAGTTACAGGATCGGATAGAAAGAAAGACAGCGGAGCTACGAGGCCCTAACAGTCCGTCACCGCCACAATAGAAACATCAATAGACCGGGAGGCGGAGAAAGGAGTCGAGAGGCAATCCAGATAATCCAATCTTAATGAATGAGCGCTCATGATATATACATCTGATAGTGCTGAGGAGGACTCGGTGTCGCTCCATTTATACCACAGGCAGATACATTATTTAGGACGGGCCAGAGGTATGTGTGTCACTTTCAGCTGGATCCTGTGTCCATTGAGGATGCTCAGCTTACAGCACTTACTCACATGCTCAGAAGAAATAAAAACACAAGCGCCGGTACACATCCGATTATGTCACTTTCTGTTAACTTTCATCCCAGTCTGGTTTGGTTTTAGCGCCTGCAGACGGTCGCTGAGGACACGCTGGATACTAACTGAGCAGTAAAGACTTTCTGTGATGTGCATCTTGATTTGTGAGTCTCGTGGAAGCCCCTTCGCAGTTTAAAGTGACGGACCGAACAGAGTTCTGTGTGAACATAATGGCCCCGAAAACAAAGCTCCAGAGCCGCCTTCCTCTAAAACAACAAGACAGTGTTTGAGCCCTAGTGGGGCTTTGGCGGGACTTTCTGGTGAGGATCCACCAGGGTAAAAAAACACTGTCTGCTTCTATTAAATAAAAGATGGTGCAGGTTCTATGAGGCTCCCATGCTGATTCTTGGCCAAGGACTCCAGACGACTTTATTTAGAGGACAGACTGAAATATTAAACCTCCGATAAGATAAGAAGACGGGAATAACAGCCCTTATTTTAATTGTGTCTACAGTGGCACAAAGCCGCGTACACAGAAGTCACATTTTCCAGCTGCTAGATCGCTGAAAAAGCCCCACTTAGCATAGTTTATCATGGTATGTACTCACAGAGCCAAAAGGTCCCTCTGGTTCCCAAGAAGAACGTCTGGAAACACAGAGAAGATAGATCAACATCTAATAGTCCTGACACAGAGTCCTGCCAGGAAAATCTCAGTCCGGTGATTCATTCCTGTTGGTTTGTTGACATTACAGTGAACGCCACGCTCGCATTTCTGATGGCATCGCTGCTTCTCAGGCCAAGACCAAACACGGGCTTCCAGTTGGAAACCACACCAACATTAAACTGCATTATTATTATTATTATTATTATTATTATTATAGCCCTGATTGAGTTCTATTAAAGCTGCCTAAATCCGTATTTGTCTTTACAAACAACGTCTCTAATGACCATGTGAACACGTCGCTCTTCTGATGAAACAAAGGAGAATGAGTCGAGTTTGCTTTAGTTCTGTTGAGCCTTTTAACATCTTTAATATCGACAGTTGTGGTTCAGTCACACAGCTTTTATGAAACCTGCTTAGCAACAAACACCAGGCACAGCTAGCAAGTAGCTCGTGGTGCTTTTAGCAACTTCTAGACCCAGAAACACTCTTAAAAAGTCAGTGAGCCCTTCTCCATACCACTAACATGACTCAGAGTTAATGGACTTTGTTTAAAACTGAGATGAAGGTCTGTGCTCTGATTGGACGTCTAGCTGTAGCAGCTGATTTAATACAAACATTAAGCTGCCATCTTTGAGCATCAAAACCTTAATTTCCTGCATTCTGGTGAATTTTTATCAACATTAAATTATGAATTTGAGCCTTTTCTGCATCAGTTTATAGTCAAAGTGTTCAGTTGTGTCAAATCAAGCTCAAGATTGTGGCTGATCTAAAGCAGTTTCTTCATTTTAAGTATTAGAAGCGAATGTATTTCTGTAACGAGCTCAGTAACGATGCTGTCAATATAATTGTGCTTTTCTGATCATCTTAAAGCGTGTAAATGAAAAGACTGTAGAGATGGAAGGGAATGGAATATGTACGTCTGTAATCTGACTGGAACTTGAACAAGAAATCATTTCAGAAGACTCATTCTAAGTTTACATCGCTGTAGATCCAAAAATAATAACTTTCCAAGCAGAATGTAAACACTCATGTCATATAAGCTTCCATTAGGGTTGGATTAATAAGCAATAAACAAATAAAAATTAATTCTATGTTCTGAACATGAAACAACAACAAGCCAGCAAACAAATCCTGACCTTAGCTAGCAGTTCATAAACC